CAGGCTAGAATGCAGTGGTACCATTCTCACTGCAACCTCCACCTCCTGGGTTCAAGTGATTCTCCTGCCTCAGCCTCCCGAGTAGCTGGGATTACAGGTGCCCACCACCACACCCGGCTAATTTTTGTATTTGTTTTTTTTCTTGAGACAGAGTCTCACTCTGTCACCTAGGCTGGAGTGCAGTGGCACCATCTCAGCTCACTGCAACCTCCAGCCTCCCAGGTTCAAGCAATTCTTCTGCCTCAACCTCCTGAGTAGCTGGGACTATAGGCATGCACCACCATGCCCGGCTACTTTTTGTATTTTTAGTAGAGACAGGGTTTCACCATGTTGGGCAGGCTCAAACTCCTGACCTTGTGATCCACCGCCTCAGCCTCCCAAAGTGCTTGGAATACAGGCATGAGCCACTGCGCCTGGCAATTTTTGTATTTTTTTTTTAGTAGAGATGGGGCTTCACCATCTTGGCCAGGCTGGTCTCGAACTCCTGACTTCATGATCCACCCACCTCAGCCTCCCAAAGCTAGGATTACAGGCGTGAGCCACCACACCTGTCCTGCAGCCTATGTTTTTTAAACATTCTCGTCGGATGTTTGATGGGGAATAATGGATTGTAGGCGGTGAAAAATTAAAAGGGAGACCAAACTTGAGGCTATTGTGGTCACTCAAGCTAAAGATGCTGGTCACTTTGACAAGGGAGAGGTAAGGGAGGGGCAGATGAGCTGCAGTTGGTGGATGTGAGATCTGTTTTGGAACTAGACTCTATAGATCGTGCTCATGGTTCAGATGTGGGAGATGAAACAGAAGGAATCAAAGATACCTCAAAGGCTTTTGGCTTGTGGATCATCTTTATCATGAGTAGAAGATAGTGCTGTTTTCATTGAGATGGAAAAGCTAGAAGTAAGAGAGGGAAAAAGTCTAGTTTTGATTGTACTAAGGAATATATCAGATACCCAAGTGGAATTGTTAAGGAGGCAGTTGGAAATATCCTTAATACCGTTACATTTAAGTTAGCCTGTTGGCTTTTGGCCAGTACCAGTTTTAGCCTAATCAATGTCAGACACTGATTTTATTTTTTACTGAATGTTGCTGTAGGCAGATACATACAAAACTGACAATTGTGGGCCAGGCACAGTGGCTCACGCCTGTAATCCCAGCACTTTGGGAGGCCAAGGCAGGTGAATCACTTGAGGTCAGGAGTATAAGACCAGACTGACCAACATGGTGAAATTCCCCTCTCTACTCAAAATACAAAATTAGCCAGGCATGGTGGTGCACACCTGTAGTCCCAGTTACTTGGGAGGCTGACGCAGGAGAATCACTCGAACCTGGGAGGCGGAGGTTATAGTGAGCCAAGATCATGCCATTGTACTCCAGCCTGGGCAACAAGACTGAAACTCCATTTCAAAAAAAAAGAAAAAAACCCCTGATAATTGTATGGTTAAAACTGCTAATGAGCTGGGCATGGTGGTTCATACCTGTAATGCCAGCACTTTGGGAGGCCAACGCAGCAGGATCACCAGTGGTTAGGAGTTCGAGACCAGCCTGGTCAATGTGGTAAAACCCCATCTCTACTAATTATACAAAAATTAGCTGGATGGATGTGGGAGTGCATGGCTGTAATCCTAGCTGCTTGGGAGGCTGAGGCAGGAGAATTGCCTGAACCCAGAAGGCAGAGGTTGTAGTGAGTTGAGATTGTACCACTGCACTCCAGCCTAGGTGACAGACCAAGACTCTGTCTTAAAAAACAAACAAACAAAAAGCCCCACCTGCTAACATCTATTTCTTGCTGCTTGTATCTTCCTTTTTAGTCCTCTGAACTCCCTCATTAGATGATCAGAAATTCCAAGGCAAGGCAACTTGCATTAATTTCTTTGGACACTCCCTTCCTATTTCCTACTTTCAATTTGGAAAAAAAAAAAAAATTGCATTACAGAAACTGTTTCTTGACTAGTGTAGTTGGGAGCCCTATTACAGATTGGTGATTTTCGCCCTCTGAAGCCAGTTTTATTAGTTAATGTGTTTTGCATGACTTTGTTTTTAATGAGTTTTGTGGTTTGGGTCTGGGGCAGGCAAGTGGAGTGGATATGTGGGTGCTCTTGATAGAAAGTGTCTTGAGCTCTTCTAAGTGTTACATGCTTCGAGCTGACATTCTGTTCCCATGAACATAGTTTTGCACGTTTCTTGTCACAAGTCCTACTTCTAAAAGCATTTAAAAATTAGAAAGGAATGTAGCTAGTATTGTCATGTCCTCTGTTAACCACACATATATGTTTTGTTTAACAAAGAGGAGGGTAAAAGAGGAAAAGAATGATGGTGTATACTAGTAAGGAGCATGGACAGGGTTTTTTGGGGGTTTTTTGTTTGTTTTTTTGAGACGGAGTCTCACACTGTCACCCATGCTGGAGTCCAATGGCGTGATCTTCTACAACCTCTGCCTCCCAGGTTCAAGTGATTCTCCTGCCTCAGCCTCCCAAGTAGCTGCGATTACAGGTGCCCACACCATGCCTCGCTAATTTTTTTTTATTTTTAGTAGAGACAGGGTTTCACTATGTTGGCCAGGCTGGTCTTGATCTCCTGACCTCGTGGTCTGCCCGCCTCGGCCTCCGAAAGTGCTGGGACTACAGGCGTGAGCCACCGTGACTGGCAAATAGGTTTTTACTAATTTGGGCTAAAATCCAAATGGATTGTCTTATTTCCGGGCTCCATCATGGTCCCTGATGCTCTTGGGAAAGAAGTCCACAGCTTTTCTGTCCCGGGGCAGGAAGAAACACTCTCTTATCTTCTAGACCCCAGCAGCCAAAGCATATCTTCCATGGAAAAACCAGCCGCCATCCTACTCTCCGGCATGCTGTGAGGCAGTCACAAGGCTGTTCCCTGTGCCGGCGTGGGGGCCCAGCAGGCCAGGACCATATCGTCAGCACACCCTGATTCTGTTCTTTTCAGTGATATCCGCTGGGCCACAGGGCCTCGTGCACTGTAAGTGTTGAATGTTGCCATCTTGGCGGTTGTACTGATCCTCAAGGATGACTTTTTGGAAGTAGAAGAGCAATAAGAGACTTCGAAGGCCAGGCAGGATGTTTCTGAATGGGGAAGAGAAAGGTGTTCCAGAGGTCAGAGGCAGCAAACCAAAAACTCTGGAGTCCAAAATGAGGTGATTGGATGAAATAGAGATCGTTGACAAGTTCATGAACTACTGTGGTAAGCCAGTGACTTCTGAAGTTACATTTGGCCAGACAGGCTTCATTTGACTGTGGTCAGTGGATGGAGAAGACAGTTGGCACCAGTATCTGTTCCTGGGATAGCAGAGCCCCACTGAACAGTGTGGTGCCCGAAAGAGTGTGGGATCCACCAGGTCTGTATCTGCTAATAATTTCCCCAGACATTCCTGTTGCTGCACATCAGTGACTGTGCAACATCTGGTGTTTTTTTTTTTTCTTTTTTACTACTGCATAAAAAGTTTCCTTTCAGTTTCTGACTGTGTATTTCAGATTTTCTAAATGCCTCACATTCTTTCTCCTTTGCAAGCAGCTTGAGCAGGCAGGTTGCCTATTTCTAGGGAGATGGTGGCTTTGTCCATGTTGGACCTTAATGGTTCCATGGGACTTTTCATGATGGATGTTAAAAGCAGATGGCTTTTGTTTCATATGTTGAGGAATGTCTTGTGACCCAGGCCCGTATAACTAGAGCTACAAAGAGCTGCAGGGGTGAGTCTGAAGTGAGACCTCAAAGTAAATCACTTTGGAAGGTTTTGCTTTCGTTTCTCTGAATTGCTAAGCACTTGGGAGAAGTCAACAGTTTTGCAGTGAGCATATGTGTGTGTCCTTGGAGTGAAATCAGGAGACAAGTGGAGGAGAAATAAGGTAGAAAGGCCATCAGAAATCAGAGAGCTTACAGACATTGATTAGTCGCGTTTTTTTGTTTTGTTTTTTTGTGTTTTGTTTGTTTCTTTTTGTGGGGGATGAAGTCTCTGTCACCCAGGATGGAGTGCAGTGGTTGGATCTCAGCTCACTGCAGCCTCCACCGCTCAAGTTCAAGCGATTATCCTGCCTTAGCCTCCCATGTAGCTGGGATTAGGGGCATGCACCTCCGCGCCTGGCTAATTTTGTATATTTAGCACAGATGGGGTTTCATCATGTTGGACAGGCTGGTCTTGAACTCATGACCTCTGGTGATCTGCCCTCCTTGGTCTCCCATAGTGCTGGGATTACAGGCATGAGCCACTGCACCCAGCCTAGTTTTTTTTTTTGTTTTTTTTTTTTTAAGAAGATTTTTAAAAAGAGGTTGAAGCATTTTAAAAATGTATTTAGGGAATGTGCAGACCAGTGTCTATGGCAGTGGGTATCAGATTCATCAATTTTCTGTTTTGGTTTCTCTACCAAACATCTCATTTATATGTTTTAAGAAAGCTTAAGATTTGATTCAATGTGGTGGTTTTGGTTGTTGTTTGTTTGTTTTTTGTTTGTTTGTTTTTTTGGTGGTGGAGTCTCGCTTTGTCACCCAGGCTGGAGTACAGGTGGCTACTGAAATTTAATTAGAATTCCATTCAATTAAAAGTTCAGCTCCTCAGGAGGCAAAGGCAGGAGAATTGCTTGAACCCAGGAGGTGGAGGTTGCAGTGACCTGAGATCTCACCACTCACTGTACCCCAGCCTGCTGACAGGTGAGATTCCGTCTCAAAAAAAAAAAAAAAAAAAAAAAAAAATTCAGTTCCCCAGTTGCCACTAGCCACATTGCAGGCACTCAGTAGCCACATGTGGCTGGTGTCCCTGTATTGGACGGCTCAAATATAATACCTTTCCGTGATCACACAGAAAGTTCTGTTGGACAGCACTGCCAGCCAGAGACTTGGATCCAGTCCACCAGATTCTTTTCTCCTGTGTTAATCTATGATACCTGTTGACAAGTGATGGATATTTGGCCAGACGTGACAGCTCCGTTCTCCTGTGTCAGTGCCGTGTGTCTGTCAGCGTCCTTCACGGTGTGCTCACTTTTTCTTCCAAGGAGGAAGTTGGCCGAATATGGAAGATGGAGCTGCTCAAAGAATCGGATGGGCTGGGAATTCAGGTTAGTGGAGGCCGAGGATCAAAGCGCTCACCTCACGCTATCGTTGTCACTCAAGTGAAGGAAGGAGGTGCCGCTCACAGGTGACTAGATAACTCCCCCCCATCTCTCCACCTCCTCTCCCTCCCTCCCCCCTCCCCGCTGGTACAGGTACCCTTCCACTTGTTCAAAGCCCTGGTAATTACAGTTCATAAGGATTATGCTGGTGCACAGAAGGAAACCGGGCAAGAGTGGTTCTAATTGAACACACCTCTGAGCACAGGAAGTGGCTAATTGCAGAGGATATTGCAGGATCTTCTAAAACAAGAAGGAGAGATTGACTCTCTTTATAGTCCAGTTTTAGTTTCAAGTGAATGTTATGTATCCTAACTTGCTGAGACGATATGACGCTACTTACTGAGAATATGCTGCTGAGTAGAACACCACATTCCTAAGACCTTAACTTCCATATGACTTGACTAATGACCAGGGAAGTGACTGGTTTTCAGTGTGATCACAGTTCATGCTTAGGGGCTTCGCCTGTCAGGTCTATCAGGATTTCAGGCACACTTAGATACATGGATCTCTGTCACACAGATATGGAAAGGAAATTTAGTAAATATGAATTTTTCTCCTTGTAATCTGGAAACAATTCATACCTCAAAATTTCTTTTGTAGGCCAGGTGTGGTAGCTCATGTCTGTAATCCCAACATTCTGGGAGGCCAAAGCAGGAGAACTGCTTGAGCCCAGGAGTTTAAGACCAGCTTGGCCGGGTGCAGTGGTACATGCCTATATTCCCAGCACTTTGGGAGGCTGAGATGGGTGGATCACCTGAGGTCGGGAGTTCAAGACTAGCCTGGCCAACATGGTGAAACCCCACCTCTACTAAAAATACAAAAATTAGCCTGGTGTGGTGACACACACCCGTAATCCCAGCAGGCTGACGCAAGAGTATCACTTGAACCTGGGAGGCAGAGGTTGCAATGAGCTGAGATCGTGCCATTGCACTCCAGCCTGGGTCATAGAGCAAGACTCCATCTCAAAGACTAAAAGTAAAAAATAAAAAAGGGCCAGGCATGGTGGCTCACACCGTAATCCCAGCGCTTTGGGAGCCCAAGGCAGGCGGATCACCTGAGGTCAGGAGTTCAAGACCAGCCTGACCAACATGGCGAAACCTTGTCTCTACTAAAAATACAAAAATTAGCCAGGGGTGCTGGTGGGCACCTGCAATCCTAACTACTTGGGAGGCTGAGGCAGGAAAATTGCCTGAACCTGGGAAGTGGAGGTTGCAGTGAGCCGAGATCGTGCCATTGCACTCCAGTCTGGGTGACAGAGCAAGACCCCGTCTCAAAAAAAAAAAAAAAAATGTTCTCCTTTCCATGTTGAAGAATAAAATAATAATAATAATTATTAATAAATATATAAAAATAAAAACCATACTGGGCAACATGGTGAGACCTGGCCTTTACAAACAAAACAAACAAGATAGCAGCCGGGCGCGCCTGCAATCCCAGCACTTTGGGAGGCCAAGGCAGATCACCTGAGGTCAGGAGTTTGAGACCAGCCTGGCCAATGTTGTGAAACCCTGCCTCTACTAAAAATACAAAGAAATTAGCCAGTTGTAGTGACGCACACCTGTAGTCCTAGCTCCTTGGGAGGCTGAGGCACAAGAATGGCTTGAACCCGGGCAGCAGAGGTTGCAGTGAGCTGAGATCACGCCACTGACCTCCATCCTGGGCAACAAAGCGATACTTCATCTCAATTAAAAAAAAAAAAAAGCTTGTCATGGTGGCACACTCCTGTAGTCCTAGCTACTCAGGAGGCTGAGATGGGAGGATCACTTGAGCCTGGGAGATCGAAGCTGCAATGAGCCATCACTGTGCCAGTGTACTACAACCTGAGTGACAGAGCAAGAGACTCGGTCTCAAAAAAAACAAACAAAAACGTATTTTTTAATCTGAGCAATGATCTGAAGTAGGAAGAGTAACAGTGTTTAGCTAGAGCATGTGCAAAACAGTTTATTTTGAGTAAGAAGGATGTAGCTATCCCAAGATGTCAGGCAGGCTCTTGACTGCTAGCTAATTGCTTCCATGCACCATTGGGTGTTTACTATTTGCAAGGCTTGGTGGGGCGTGTATGTATGTCGTATGCCCACACATATATAGTAGGTGTATAAAGGGAGAGTTTTGTTGATGAGCAAGGTGATCATCTTGTATCTAGTCTGGAACTTGGTGTTCAACTCAGGTACCCTGATTCTAAGAGGGTTGTGGCAAACAAGACTGGTACTGGTCTGCCAAAGCTTGAGACGGGACGCAAGGATATCACTTGAGGTACAGTTGAAGGAGCTGGAGGTAGTTACTCTGAAGAGTGGAAAACTGGGCACAAACCAGCACAGTCTTTTATGCTCATCAGTTCTCTTATTACAGAATAGGATGCTAATAACTAGAGTTGAGATAAGATGAACTGCAATTGTTAGTTGTCTGGGTGGTAGTAATTGCCGATGAATTAAGACCTTAGGTGGCTTTTACGCCAAACAGCATTGTTAAGCTTCCAAAATGGCATGTGCGTTAAGGAGCTCCTGTCAGATAGACACTTACCCATTAATTCTAGGTCTTAAGTTCCAGTCTGTCTTTAGCAAGGAAATTCCTGTGCCCAGAGTTAAACTTCCATGGAACTGATCTTGTCTGTTTTCTCTCTGAGCCATGTCTGGTGGGTCTCATCATTTTCTTTTCATTCTTAGCCTGGAGTTGTGTGTGTGTCTCTTTGAGCCTCTGAAGTGTATGATTCACAAGTGGGGCATTTTAGTTAATAACAGGAGATGAGAGATATGAAAGAGGGAAATAGGAAAAGGGATGAGGATTTTTTTTTGAAATGGAATGTCACTCTGTCACCCATTCTGGAGGGCAGTGGTGTGATCTCGGCTCACCACAACCTCTACCTCCTGAGTTCAAGCGATTCTCCTGTCTCTGCCTCCTGAGTAGCTGGGGCTACAGGCACATGCCACTATGCCCAGCTAATTTTTGTATTTTTAGTAGAGACGAGGTTTCACTATGTTGGCCAGGCTGGTGTCGAACTCCTGACCTTGTGATCCACCCGCCTTGGCCTCCCAAGGGATAGGAATGGTCTTGGTGGTGTTCTGGATAAGGAAGCCCAGGACACTGGTCCATTGCATTCTTGATTCCTGAATCCCTATCCTCCCATAGGAAGCAGCTCCTGAGTGGCCCACCCACACAACTCCTGAGACTCCAGTTCGTTTCTTCTGTGGTTTTCCTGTTCCCCTTCTCCCACCATTCCAAGCAGCTCACGGGGCCCTCAGCATTTCTGTTTCACCGATTTTTGAAGGACTAGCAGAAGTCTCTGGTGCCTCCTGTCTTCTGTTAAAGCCTAAATTCATAGAAAAGACAGGGGCGCATGTCCTAGAGGAAGGAGACAGAAAGTGAGAGAAAGGCTGTTGAAGGCAAGAAAGCGGAGGTAAGGATGGAAGGAGAGAAGTCAGTTGATTCATGGAAGGAAAGCAAGGAGAGAGCCTGCAGATTGGAGAGAAACGGAGTTTCTGGGCGTGTTGGGGACATGCATGCGTTTCATGGCAGCACCCTGGGTGCTGAGGTGAGCCTTTAAAACAGGGGCATCCAGTCTTTTGACTTCCCTGGGCCACACTGGAAGAAGAAGAATTGCCTTGGGCTACACATAAACAACCCTTAACACTAACGATAGCTGATAAGCTTTTTAAAAAAAAAAAAAATCATGTTTTAAGAAAGTTTACACATTTGTGTTGGGCCACATTCAAAGCCGTCCTGGGCTGCATGCATGCCGTGGGTTGGCCAAGCTTGATCTAGAGGGTATGGTTGGATCCAAAGCTTGAGGTCTCTCTGCCTCACCAGCTTTCCTATCCCGTTCAGCCTTTTCTGGCTCCTTTGGGATCCTGGGAGACCAGACCCCTGGAGGCTCTGTTGGAGTCCACAGGACTGTGGACTTACCACGATCAAAGGGGCCTGCCCAGTGCTCCGGCACGATCGCCATGCAGAGCCCTGACCCACCCTAGGGGAGGCAGTCCCCATGACAGCTGAGTCTCCTGCCAGAGGGAAGAAAGCCCAGTCAGCCATAATGTAATTAAGGAAGGAAACAAAATGTTTGTACACCATGTTTGTCGCCCGGGTCTGATACCTGCAGCGGTAGCATTTCAGGCAGTTTATTCTTTTCCTTTCTTTTCTTTTTTTTTTCTTTTCTTTTTTTTTTTAATTCATCCTTCTGCATATGAAGCTTGGCTGTAGAGACTCAGGGATGAAAAAGGAGCTGAAGCCGGGCCTGGTGGCACACATTGGTAGTCCCAGCTTGTAGTACTCAGCTATGAGTACTACTACAAGTAGTACTTGTAGTACTCAGCTACGAGACTGAGGCAGGAGGATCACTTGAACCGAGGAGTTCCAGGCTGCAGTCAGCCAGGATCACGCCACTCCACTCCAGCCTGGATGACAGAGAAGGACTCTGTCTCAAAAACAAACAAAAAAGAAAATATATATTTAAAAAGAAAGAAAGAAAAAGAACAAGGTGCTGAGGAGAGTGAGAGACTTGATTCTCAAGGACCTGTAGCTCCATTAGGAGACACAGACACATGTAGCAAACCACAGGTGCCCCAGAGGACATCTGGTCAGGGTCGCGCCACCTGGGCAGAGAGGAAGGCAGTGCATTAGAAAAGAAATGCAGGCGGGCTTGGGATACCTCTGCTCTTTCTGAGCTTAGCTCATTGACTCTGTATCAGGGCAGGATGACAGGTCGGATTAAGAAAAGAATGACTCGGCTGTCCTAAAGCCTTGGGGTCTTGGTTCCTCTATAACCATCTCCACCTTGATGGGAGTTTCAGTGACATTGATGCCAGGTAGGGTGGTGACCTCACTTTGCATATTAATGAGCCACTGCCTGAAATCATGGAGGCTTTCACTCCTCTGATGGGAATCTGGACACCAAGAATAAAGCAATCCCACTCAAACTGCCTCTGGCCATCACAGTGTCCTCCTTAGCCCAGTCTTGACTGTCCCTTCTCACAACCCTCAGTAGCTCTAGCAAATGGCCCTTCTCAGGCCAGAATGTCTTGACAAGGGATTTTTTTCCCATCTCCGTTTCCTCAGGGATGGCAGGCTGTCCTTAGGAGATGAGCTGCTGGTAATCAATGGTCATTTACTGGTTGGGCTCTCCCACGAGGAAGCGGTGGCCATTCTTCGCTCCGCCACGGGAATGGTGCAGCTGGTGGTAGCCAGCAAGGTAGGTCCTGTTTGTTTTTTGGTACTCGTAACTGTGGCAGTGGTGAGTTGGGGTTGAGCCCCGCCTCCCATCTCTCTCTCTCTCTCTCTCTGGCGCGCGCGCGCTCGTGCGCTCACTCTCTCTCTCATACACACACACACACACACACACACACACACACACACACACACTTGTTTACCTTGGGCCATTGAAACAGCCGTGCTTCTACAGGGCAGTGCTATGCAGAGACCCTTAGGTAAAGTGCAGCTAGTTACTTGGCTTTCCTTAAGAGTTTTTGTAGGCATTTGTTAGGGCACATGCAACTCCTGGGCTGTTGGTGGGTACTGGTCTGTGGCCTGTTAGGAACTGGGCTGCGCAGCAGGAGGTGAGTGGCAGGTGAGTGGGCTCTGCCTCCCGTCAGATCAGCAATGGCACTGGATTCTCATAGGAGCACGAGCCCTATCGTGAACTGCACACGTGACGGATCTAGGTTGCGCACTCTTTATGGGAATCTAATGTGTGATGATCTGAGGTGGGACAGTTTCATCCCAGAACCATCCTCCTCACTGCCCTCATCCTTGGAAAAATTGTCTTCCATGAAACTGGTTTTTGGTACCAAAAAGTTGGGGACCACTGTGATAGGGGATGGAAAGGAAAGAACATAACTGAAGAAAAGGTAAGAATGGTAGATGGAAGGAAGGACAACGTGGAGAGAGCAGCAGCTCTTCCAGGAGGAGCTGCAGAGGAGGCGTGGAAGCCTGGACAGCTGAGAGAGCCTCAGGGGTGCCAAGGGCAGGCGTGGCTTCTGCTCTCACTTGTGGCCTCTGAGTGTTGGCACTGGAGGAAGCGTTGTGAGTCCTGTTTGCCTAGACAATTTACAAATGAGATAGTGGGCAAGAGCTTCCATGACTCCTGCTGTCTCACAGAGGCCATGATGCCATCAGCTGCACCAGGACCTGGGCCCTAACGCCCAGCCCGGTGTCTGTCCCCTGTCTCCCTGCTGCCTCTTCTCATGGGTCCTCCACACGTCCTGAGGCCCCAGGCAGGCCAGAGCTTCTATCACTCCCACCCTACAGTGCCTTCATCTAGTGCCCAGTTCTGGGTGCCAGCATCTGCTTCTTAAAGCGCTGGCTAAAGTCTGCAGGACTTCACAGCCGTGCTGAGAAAGAGGAGGCGTTGGCCTCTTGTGTGTCTGAGCTGTGGGCTAACGTACCGTTGATGAGACTCTAGCAGAGTCTGCGAGGCCGAGGAGCTGGTGCAGTGGAGCCATGAGGCTTTGTTCCAATTCCAGCAGGGAAGGACGCGACAAGGCCACACCCGCTTAGCCCTTTGCTGCATGACGCTCACGCTAATATGGATAATCCTTTTTCCATGATCTCTGCTGTTATTTCAAACCTGGCGTGATAGGCTTCTTTGTATTTTCCCCCTTGAATTGCAAGATTGATTGCTGATTTTTGGAATATTGAACAAATAGATTTGAAGAACATTTTGAGCTATCCAAAAAAAAAATCTGCTTTCCTTTCCTTATAACTTTTACCCCAAGTCCTTGACCTAGACTCTCAGACTTCCAAAGAGAATCTATCTACAGAGCTGTGGTGAAGACTTGGCAGGAAGAATGGGCGTCTGAGTCCCTGGGGTAGGCGTGGGACCACCGTCCATTCATAGGGTCCTTCCTCCCCTCCTAGAGATACCAGAGGACACCCTGGGGCCGTCTCTTGAGTCCACTGTGCTCCCTGCACGTCTTCACCCACAGTGTCTGCCTGTGGGCTGTCTGTAGCCCCTCGCCAGGGAGGGGGCAGCAGACAAACCCCAGATTCCCTTTGTCAGCTGGTGAATTCCACAAGGAGGGAAATGCTACAAGAGAAGGAGAAACCAGTTCCCCATTTTTACAGATATAGTGGGAGCTTGAAAGCATCTTTGGGACACACACACACATACACACACACACACACACACACACACACACACAGAAAGTTTGTTTGATTTGCACAGCTGACCTGGGATAGCTTTTCTTTGTCAAGCCATAATCCACACAAAAAAAAAAAAAAAATTAAAAAAAAAAAAAAAAAAAAGGCCACTCATGGGTAAAGCAAATAATGAAGGGCTTTGAAAACTAGTTCCTCGATGGTACCTGCTCTCTGTGAGACGCATCGACCCATTGACTTAAAGGAAGAAAGGACGCTACATGTACCAGGTGCCCACAGGGTGCCAGGTACTTTTAGTTCTTTTTTTTTTTTGAGACAGAGTTCTGCTCTTGTTGCAATAGCACGGTCTCGGCTCACCGCAACCTCCACCTCCTGTGGAGGTGATTCTCCTGCCTCGGCCTCCTGATTAGCTGGGATTACAGGTATGTGCCACCACACACCTGGCTAATTTTGTATTTTTAGCAGAGACGGGGTTTCTCCATGTTGTTCAGGCTGGTCTTGAACTCCCAATCTCAGGTGATCCGCCCCCCTCAGCCTCCCAAAGTGCTGGGTTTACAGGCATGAGCCACTGCGCCTGGCCGTTTAGTTTTTATTCAGTGAATGGTATTAAGTTCCAAGTGGCTGGACTGGGCATGGTGGCTCATGCCTGTAATCCCAGCACTTTGGGAGGCCAAGGGAGGAGGATTGCTTGAGCCTCGGAGATCAAAACCAGCCTGGGCAAAATAGTGAGACCTCTTCTCTACACAAAGATAAAAAATTTAGCCAGGTATAGTAGCACACACCTGTAGTCCCAGCTACTTGGGAGGCTGAAGCAAGAAGATTGCTTGAGCTTAGGAGGTCACGACTGCCTGGGTGACAGAGCAAGACCCCATCTCAAAAAACAAAAACAAACAAACATCCAGGTGGTGAATTACCTTGCCCTGAGGTCACACCGCAGTAGAAACGAGAATCAGGTTTTAGCCTGAGCACCAGACTTCACAGTTCATGCTGCTTCTCATGCACCAAGCAGCCTTTACGCACATAAAATAGAAAAGATGCCAGAGCCAATGGTATTAGAAAAAGATAATGTGTTGCTACCAGAGGCTTTGACTTTTAGGGACACTTGCTTGGGTCCTTGTAGGGCCGAGTAGCATTCCAGAGCCAAAGAATGGGGGTCCATCCAAGTTCTCAATCCATTGGCCCTTGGGCCTGTGTCCCAAGCTGTGCTCCTAAAGCTGACCCAGGCCTCAGAGGAGTGATGCCTTTCACTTCTTCAGATAAGCTTCGTTTTTATGATTAGGCAGTAAACTGCTGCAGCAGCCGCCTGCTGCTCCTAAACTTCACCTACACCATCCAAGGTCCTCATCCACTTAGGAGGAGAAAGATAGCAGCCTTCAGGTACCTCTTGACATCTGTTTCTCTTCTTTATCCAACAAGAGCAAGTAATTCACAAGCTTGCTTTCGAGGGAGGGGAGAGCTTTTGACTTGCTGAAAGTAAAGAACAACTAAAATGTAAACTATTGTTATTACGGATAATAGTCACTTTGTTGCAAGACTTTAAGGCATTGTTTTGGAAACATAGCAGTTACTTGATTGTGGAGAGGGTGTGTCATGTTTCCACACAAGTATATTGTTGCTTACAGTATGAGCTAAGGAAGTTTTTATTGAATGAATAAACTCAAAATATACAGTCAGTTTTCATATTCCCGGAAGCAATATGTAACAGTACAGATCTCTTGCTTGCTTTTTTGTTTTTTTCACTCTCAGTTTTTATTAACAAGTAATATGTATGTATTATATCAAATGCAGAGATGATGATGATGCTGAAATTCTCCTAATAGCACCGGTAGTACTTACTGTGCAGTGACTGGCATGTCCCTCCAGCTGGGAACGTCTGTATGTGTTTGCAACATGTACATACACGTTTTCTTTAAAATGGAGTCAAATGCAAGGAAACAGCATATTTTCTGGAGGCAGTCCAACCTGGATTTAAGCGAAGCACAGCCCTCTAAAAGCTGCATGGCCTGACCAAGTTGTTACCTCTCCTCATTCTCAGTTTTCTTCTCTGTACAGTGAGAATCAGCCACTACCTCCTGAGGGTGATGTTAGAAGGATTAAATGAAATCTCAAGGGGTCGGGCGCGGTGGCTCACGCCTGTGATCCCAGCACTTTGGGAGGCCAAGATGAGAGGACCGCTTGAGGCCAGTAGTTAAAGACCAACCTGGTCAGCATAGCAAGACCCACCCCCATCTCTATAAAATAATAATAAATAAATAAATAGAGTCTGATTCCATGTATTTTTGTTGACCTTTAAAAGTTGTTCAAGGCTGGGTATGGTGGCTCATGCCTGTAATCCCAGCACTTTGGGAGGCCGAGGTGGGAGGATCACCTGAGGACAGGAGTTCGAGACCAGCCTGGCCAAGGTGGTGAAACCCCATTTCTACTAAAAATATAAAAATGAGCAGGGTGTGGTGGTGGGTGTCTGTAATCCCAGATACCCAGGACGCTGAGGCAGGAGATTTTCTTGAACCCGCGAGGCAGAGGCTGCAGTGAGCTGAGATCCCGCCACTGCAGTCCAGCCTGGGTGACAGAGCGAGACTGTATCTCAAAAAAGAGTTGTTCAAGGACTGACTTCATTGAAAAGACTTTATCTGGCATTTTGATTTGACAATCTAATCTCTTTTTTTTTTTTTTTTTTTTTTTGAGACGGAGTTTCACTCTTGTTGCCCAGGCTGGAGTGCAGTGATACTGTCTGAGCTCACTGCAACCTCCGCCTCCCAGGTTCAAGGGATTCTTGTGCCTCAGTCCCCCAAGTAGCTGGGATTACAAGCGCCTGCCACCACGCCCAGCTAATTTTTGTATTTTTGGTAGAGACAGGGTTTCATCCTATTGATCAGGCTGGTCTTAAACTCCTGACCTCAGGTGATCCACCCACCTCGGCCTCTCAAAGTGCTGGGATTACAGGCATGAGCCACTGCGCTGAACCAATTGAATCCCTTTCTAATGAGTGTATGCTAGGGAGATGAGCACAGGAGCAGGGAGGAGGAGATGATGGATTTGTGAGCTCTGGGCTAGGGCCGAGGACATAGCAGTGAACAGACATGGTGTTAGGTGTTAGCAGTTCTCAGACATGCAGGGGAGATGGACACATGGAGTTAGACACACTGCGAGCAGTAGTCAAAGACTTTAGAGAAGAAAGGAGGAGCACATGGAGTGGCTCCTGAGATGACTGAGGTGGGCTTTCAGAAGGAGAGGTATTCAAGCCTTCCCTGTGTGGGCCTCAGTCATGAAAGGAAGGGTGGTCCCAGCAGAGGGAGCTGCCAGCGGAAAAGGCAGTGGGCAAGGAAGAGTCCGAAGGGTTTGGAAGGCAGCATGGCATCAGAGTGGGTTGGTGGGGAGAGCGGACGGGGACGAGTTTGGAGAGCGGGGCAGAAGCTGCTCTAGAAGAGCTGACCTGCTGATGACAGCTTTAGACAGCATCCTGAAATCAGCCCAGGGGAGGCCAGCAAAGGATCCTGGGCCGGCGTGGTGACTCACTCTTGTAATCCCAGCACTTTGGGAAGCCAAGGCAGAGTGGCTTGAGCCCAGGAGTTGTAGACCAGCCTGGGCAACATAGTGAGACTTTGACTCCACAGAAAGTTTTTAAATTAGCCATGCCTGTAGTTCAGCTACTCAGGAGGCTGAGGCAGGAGGACCATTTGAGCCCAGAGATTTGAGGTTGCGGTGAGCTATGATTGCACCACTGCAGTCAGCCTGGGTGACAGAATGAGACTTTGTGTATAAAAAATATATAATTGTGGCTCACGCCTGTAATGCCAGCACTTTAAGAGGCCGAGGCGGGTGGATCACAAGGTCAGGAGATTGAGACCATCCTGGCTAACGTGGTGAAACCCCGTCTCTACTAAAATACAAAAAAATTAGCTGGGCATGGTGGCGTGTGCCTGTAGTCTCAGCTACTCAGGAGGCTAAGAAAGGAGAATCACTTGAACCTGGGAGGTGGAAGTTGCCAAATTGCACCACTGCACACCAGCTGGGTGATAGAGCGAAACTCCATCCCCACCCCACCAAAAAAAATATATAAATATACGTGTGTGTGTACATATAATTGTTTTTTAAAGGGCTCTTAAGTTCAGGGAGCTTGGATTGTCCATGGAAACACTGATCTAAAGTCTGGTCATGGTGGCTCTTGCCTGTAATCCCAGCACTTTGGGAGGCCAAGGCAGGTGGATCACTTGAGGTAAGAAGTTTGAGACTAGCCTGGCCAACACAGTGAAACCCCATCTCTACTGAAAATACAAAAATTAGCTGGGTGTGGTGGTGTTTGCTGTAGTCCGAGCTACTCAGCAGGCTGAGGCAGGAGAATCACTTGAACCCGGGAGGCGGATGTTGCAGTGAGGCAAGATCACGCTACTGCACTCCAGCCTGGACAATGGAGCAAGACTGTCTCAAAAAAAAAAAAAAAAAAAAAGAAAGAAAGCAACAGCTAAGAATCACACATTCTTTGGCAGTGGGGTGCCCGTGGGGGTGGAATGGGTTTGGGTTTAAATTGGGTCCACACCCCCGACCTTTGTGGTAACCTTGCAGGCGCAGAACATTTACTCCGCAGAGTCTCTGGGTTGGGAGCACGTAGCTTACCTGTGCCAGGTTGCCCTGAAGAACTGCTTGGTTCTGAGGAATAATTCATGGATGGGCCTTTCATTGTGTCCCCATAGGAAAGCTCTGCGGAGGACCTCCTCAGGTTAACATCTAAAAGCTTGCCGGATCTGACCAGCTCCGTGGAAGACGTGTCCTCTTGGACCGATAACGAGGACCAGGAGGCAGACGGGGAAGAGGACGAAGGAACCGGCTCTTCTGTCCAGAGAGCAGTAAGTGCTCTGTGCTCCTGGCTTTCTGTTGGAACTCTATTTTCCTGGAGTCCTGGGCACCAGGATTATGGGATAAATGCTTGAGATAGTATGACAGAGACCAGGATGATGGGAAAAGATGCCAGTGCATTCTCTCTGTTTTTCTCAGAATCTTTGAGAAAAATCTGTGAGGGTGATATTTTTCATTTAAGGAAGAAAACGAAATGGTAAGATGAGAAAGTAACCCGGGGGCTGCGCACTGTGGCTCACGTCTGTAATCCCAGAATGGGAGGCCGAGGCAGGTGGATCACCTGAGGTCAGGAGTTCAAGACCAGCCTGGCCAATGTGGTGAAACCCTGTCTCTAGTAAAAATACAAAAATTAGCCAGGCATGGTGGTGCGTGCCTGTGAGTTCCAGCTACTCAGGAGGCTGAGGCAAGAGAATCATCTGAGCCCGGGAGGCGGAAGTTGCAGTGAGCTGAGATCTCACCACTGCACTCGAACCTGGGCGACAGAGCGAGACTCCATCTCAAAAAAAAAAAAAAAAAAAAAAAAAAGGCAACTGTTCAGTGCATATGTTAATTTCTAGAATGCTTTATAATATACACAAGGATTTTGCTGCTATGCCTCGCTAGTGTGTTTGACAACTACTACTAGTGAATTTAACTTAGATGGGGAGATTTCTGGTTGAAAGGAGAAAAGGCCAGGTGAGTAGCTCTTGCCTGTGATCCCAGCACTTTGGGAGGCCGAGGTGGGTGGATTGCTTGAGCTCTGGAGTCTGAGACCAGCCTGGCCAACATGACAAAACCCCATCTTTACAAAAATACAAAAAAAAAAAAAAAAAAAAAAACTAACCAGGTGTGATCGGGCATGCCTGCAGTCCCAGCTACTCAGGAGGATGAGGCAGGAGGATCTCTTGAGCCTGAGGCTCAGCTGCAGTGAGCTGTGATCATGCCACTGCTCTCCAACCTGGGTGACAGAGCAGGACCCTGTCTGAAAAAATAATAATAATTTAATAATACAAAATGATTCAGGGGAAGTTGTGTGGAATCTGACTCCCAATTTTAATTGAACCGGGACTCCCTGCATGGCTCGCTGCTCTTCATTACACACCGGGACACTTCACGCCCTCTTGGTTTGCTCTTGCACTGCCTGGCACACACATAGTTGTGAGGGCTTTCGGTTAACTGCCTGCAAGGTGGCTCTGTGTTCTCTTTTTTGTGTCCTAATCTGAAGGATGTGTCATTGTTAGTGTGAATCCTTTTTAGCCCTTGTTCTCCATCTAAACAGCTGTGGGGTGGGTACCCTCTCTCTGCCTTTTGGAGCCCCTTCCTCCTTCCCACTCTCCTGAACCTAGGCAGCATAAGGAAGCACTGGAAAATCAGCTTTGCTTCCATTAAGGCCTTAGAAGATGAAAGATGCAGCCGGGCGCAGTGGCTCATGCCTGTAATCCCAGCACTTTGGGAGGCCGAGGCGGGTGGATCATGAGGTCAAGAGATCAAGACCATCCTGGTCAACATGGTGAAACCCCGTCTCTACTAAGAAAATACAAAAAATTAGCTGGGCATGGTGGTGCATGCCTGTAATCCCAGCTACTCAGGAGGCTGAGGCAGGAGAATTGCCTGAACCCAGGAGGCGGAGGTTGCGGTGAGCCGAGATTGCGCCTTTGCACTCCAGCC